TCTTCACATCATCATTCCACCAATCGCTCCTCTTGCCTCCCGCACCCGGTTTCCTGTAACCACAAACTTCTGCTGAACACTCTAACACTACATTTTTAAACCTACCCCATACCTCCTCGACCCCATTGCCTATGCTCTCATTAGCCCATCTATCCTCCAATAGCTGTTTATATCTTACCCTAACTGCTTCTTAATAAGTGGATAATTAAGCACATGGTGACCATGAGGCAAGCCACATACTTTGCATTTAGTTTGATCATCATCTGTGTGTCTGCCAAACTGCCAGAAGTACTTGAAACTAAGCCTAAGCCTGGCTACTACAATATCAGTTGGTGTTCACATTGCAAGTTGCTCCATAAATGTACTTATCTACATTCATGTTGTCATAATGGGTTATAGATCTACAGTGGACCCTCAGCTAATGATGGCATCACCTAATATTAAATCCAGCTAACGATACATTTTAACGCAAAATTTTTGCCTCAGCTAACACTAAAAAACTCACCCTACGCGATTCGTTCGAGACGCGTCCACGTGTGGCCTGAGCACCAGTGTTTACAAGCCAGCCAGTGCGGTCGCATCTACACATACATTCGGTACATTTCACATTATCCCAGTGTTTTTAGTGCTTGTAGCTGCAAAATAAGTCACCTTGGACCCCAAGAAAGCTTCTAGTGCCATCCCTATGGTAAAAAGGGTGAGAATTAGTATGGAATTGAAAAAAGAGATTAAGGAAATGTGTGCAAAGTGGCTTGAAGTGCAAACCTTTCTGGATGAAAATCACCCTCACACAGCTGTTGCAAGCCGTGCTGGTGACTGTTACAATGACAATGTTGTGAACCACTTTAGACAAATCATAAAGGAACAAGAGGTACAGAGCTCTATGGACAGATATGTTGTGCGACAGAGGTCCAGTGACTCTTAAGCTGGTCCTAGTGGCATTAACAGAAGAAGGGAAGTAACCCCAGAAAAGGACTTGATACCTCAAGTCCTAATGGAAGGGGATTCCCCTTCTAAACATTAACAACTTCCACACTCTCCCCTCCTCCCATTCCATCAATCATTACCAGATCTTCAATAAAGGTAAGTGTCAGTTTGTGTGTATTAAAATTAATATTTCATGTGGTAAAATTTTTTTTTTTTTCATACTTTGGGATGTCTTGCACGGATTAATTTGATTTCCATTATTTCTTATGGGGAAAATTAATTCAGCTAACGATAATTTCAGCTAACGATGAGCTCTCAGGAACGAATTAATATCATTAGCTGAGGGTCCACTGTACTCAGGCTTATACGTAACTGCATTCCTTTGGCATTCACTTTCATTATTTACTTCTCGTAATATTATTCCTATTGCTAGACACAGATATACAAAAGTTATATTCTACATATTCCTTCAGGGAATTTTGTTTGGCTAACTTATCAGTTTTATCATGGAGTAATTTAGTTTGTGATGGAATCCATAAAAATTGTACAATAATTCCCTTTTCCCGGATTTCTGAGCAGCAATATCTGGCTTCTCCAATGAGTGTGTTGTAAGTCATTATGTGAATCAAGAGTCTTCATGATGACATTGAATCAGTAATAATCAGAGTCAAGCTTAGTGCCATAAGTTAACTTTAGCGCAGTTAGGAAGACTTTGTAAGTGGTCCAAGTAGGACCGGAACGTCGTGAGCTCCTCTCTCCTATGTGCAGGTTATTTGTGCATAATTCAGTTTGCTGTATAGACACCCGGTTGTTAATTCTTATGCCCAACCTTACATAATTCATATTGTTCTTAACTAGTGAGGTAACAACAAGGGCAGATGCAGCACTACTAGCAGACTCCTGCTTAGATACATCAGTGTATATAATTTGTGATAAAATATGACTTAAAAGTTAAGCGAGAAATTTCTTCTTGATCAGTTGCTTTTATAAGTGATTTAAGTAAGGGATTACTAGTGATGAGATTCTTGGGAGGGCCTTGTGATATTAAATGAACATAACTTCTATGGAGGGATGAAATGCTCTTGTTGACTACAGTGATACAGTTCATTCAGGTTATAAAACTTAATATAATTGTATAGTTTCACATCCCATTTAGATCTACGTTTATTTCTTTCTAGACATTTAGTAGATATGTAGCAAAAGTGTTTGGTTCATTTCTTAACATTTTAATATCAAGTAGTATTAATCTCAGGTAATTCTATCTGATATTATGAACACTAATTTCCTTCCTCACAGCAAGAATCTTGGAAGTTTAAGGAAAGCCAAGAGTAAGGCTAAGGTCTTCATTTTGCATTAGCTCCAAGGACCAGAGAGAATTTTCCTTAGGTAATATAATATTAGTATAGGTGCAGAATAATCAGTTAAGAAACTGATATAGGCTACATACATCAATGTCGCTATTCTCACATTAGCATGGTTGTTAGGGCTGTAGTCAGGGGTGGACCTGTTATGAAACTAATGAAGCTTAATTAAGCTTCAGGGCCCCTAATGCCAGAGGGGCCCCAGAAGTGACTTTACTCCACGTTGCTTAAAAATTTTGGGTCTGCTGTAAGAAAAGGGTTGCAAAGGGGCCCACATAACAGTTCAAGCTTCAGGGCCCAAAAAATGTAGGTCTGCCTGTAGCCAGCAACAGCTCTGAGAGAATTTAGTCTGTTACAAGAAAAAGTCTCAAGGGACAGAAAAAACTATTTAGGGATCTCCCTTCCTTGTAGTCTTCGCTTCGCATGGTTTACCTCTCAAAAATCTGTAAGGTTACAATGATTCATTATAACAGACATGTACAGTATATGTTTTAATGCTGTAATATAATTTGCATACTTGTTACTCTGGTCTGGACTACTGCAGTGGCGATCTCACCAAGTGTAGCTTGTGACTACACCATAGTCTCGCTTTCCTTTTATCCCTCCCTCACATATCCCCTTACCTGGAGTCTACCTGAAGAGTGTTTCGAGGGTCAGCACCCCTGCAGCCCAGTCCATTACCAGGCCTCTTGGTGGATCAGGACCTGATCAGTCAGGTTGTTACTGCTGGTTGTATGCAGTCCAATGTACAGACCACAGCCTGGCTGGTCAGTAACTGACTTTAGGAACCTATCCAGTTTCCTGTTGATGACACCTAGAGGTTTATTGGTAATCCTCCTTATTATTTAAGATGGGAAGTTGTTGAATAGTCTTGAACCTCTTACACTTATTGTTTTGTTTCATGTCACCCCTGCTTTTCATTGGGGTACATATATTGCATCATCCATTGAACCTTTTGCTTTCATAAGGAATGATTTCTATGTGCAGACTTGAGACTAGTTTCTCTAGAATTTTTAAAGTGTAAATTATGATGTACAATATCTTTCTCATCTGCATTCCAAGGAGTACAGGTCAAGTAATTAAGGTTCATGACAGAACTTAATACATGTAGTGAAAGTTCTCTGTGCATTTTCAAGATATACAATTTTGGCTGTTTTAAAAGGGGCTGCTATTGTACCGGAGTATTCCTGCCCACTATTCTTCCTTATCCACTGCCTTCCTCTTTTGTTCCCTTATTCCCCTCCTGCTTCTCTTGCTTTCACCTTATTCTCTCTTATCCACCAACCTTTCCCTCGTATACCCTTCTTTTCCCATCTTATACTTTCTTCCTTTCCAGTGTATCCTCCTCCACTCCCCATTTATCTCCCCTCCATTCCTTCCTTAGTGAGGGAGTAAATAACACTTTTACTGGCAAGGATGTTAGTGGAGTTCTTTATGCATAGCCTACCATCCCCTGTGTAAGATAGCCCCTCCCCCTGTATAAGATAGACACCCCCCCCCAATGTAAGATAACCCCTTCCCCCTCTTGATTTTCCCCTTACCAGTGGGCTGCCAGCAGCAACCAGGCTGTTGCTGTTGGCAGCCCACTGGACCACATATCCATCACAGCCTGGTTGATCTGGTGCCTCTCTCCACCCTTTTCCTTTTTATAAGATAGCCTCCCTCCCTGTGTTGCATATTTTTGATGAGTTTTGAGAGTTTTTTCATCCCCCTCTCCCCTCTCCCATATTGTAAGATGTCTGTTTGTTATATGTGGTCTGTCCCTGGTTGCTAATATTGATATATATTTAGCCATCAGTCTGATATACATATGACTGTTACACATTGCACCAGGACAAACTATCTACAGTGATATATGTATCTCAGTATTTTCTACATAGAGTGCTAATGTATTGTTGATGTTCATTTAAGGCGAATGTGACTATAATGACTCAGCTGTAGTTGATAGGATTGAAACTTTGCAACATAAATTCATTGGTGTAAATATTAAATTATGATTAGCAGATAATGTGAATGTGGAATGGAGGCAATGAGGCTTGATCCAAGGAAGGGAAGGAGACCTCCAGATCCTTAGATCAAGAGATCTTCATGGCATCAAAACACTTCCTCTTGAAAGAAGCTTAACAAAAATATACATTTTGCTTAATACAAATTTTTATTTTTGACGTTGTTGTAAAATTGAAGTTTATGATATAGTACTATGTACTGCACATATTTTTATTCTGTATTTCGCTTTTCTGAATGGAAAATATAGTGAAAAATGAACACTTTACTGTCAACATGATGCTGTATATTCTCTGATAATATTATATGCTGAGAATATTGTATACAAATTCTGCTTCTAAGTTTATAGGTTTAAGTATGCACTATACATTACACAGTATATATTTTTTAACACACCATCTGTCTCCCACCATGGCAAGGAAGGTAACCTGAAAAAGAAGAGACAAAAGTTTTTCTTTTTAAATTTAGTACTGTAATATGTCTATAAATATAGTAATATTATATTCTTGTAGAAGCACTAGACTAGTAGAGTTGATGCTGCACCTGGGGACTGGGTGGTAATCACATTTGATCTTTAGGAAAGTAAGGATAGCTCTGGTTCCTTGGATCAAGTGCTCTTCTCCAGCATCAAACCACCCCATTCTCTGCCTTCCCTTGAATGGTTCATAATACATAATGGATGAATAACAGTGAACTTCTTCATTGCAGACGTGCTCATGTGGCCATGGTCCTTATTGTGTGCATGTGTTATTCGTGATGGTGAGGGTCCTGCAGGTGGCTGAGGCTGATCCTGTCCTCATGGCTGGTGCACTCAAGGACTTTGAGGTGAGTTAAATTACCCTTCTTTTATTGTCAGTAGTAGGGTCACAGTATGAAGGAGGAATAAAGGGGTGAGTATTGTATTAGTATAGGGGCAGTAGTTGTCTTGGTGAATGTGGATTCCCTCACTTACAAAAAAAAAATCAATTGTTATGTAAGTAAATTTGTGTATTACTCTTGTTCATTTAATGTCACATTTTATTTATTAATATTATTATTATTATTATTATTATTATTATTATTATTATTATTATTATTATCTGCCAACATCTATATTAACCCTTTCAGGGTCACCAGGCCCTCTCCAAGACTTGTTCTCAGGGTTGCCAAATTTAAAAAAAAAAATATTTTTTCTTATGAAAAGATAGAGAATCTTTTCCCGATCATAATGACACCAAAAGTATGAAATTTGATGGAAAACTTATGGAATTATGCTTTTGCGAAGTTAGCAATCTCGTCGATGTTTATGCATCGGCGATTTTGCCCACTTTGAGCCCTATTTTTGGCCAATTCCAGGGTACTAGTCGACAAAAATCTTAACTATTTCGTTAGAACTCCATTTTTTCTATCGAATGAGTACAAGAAACCACCCATTTACCGATTTCAACTATCCAATACAGTGGTCAGAATTTAGCAATTTTGCCAATTTCACACAAATTTCAAAAGATGCCAATTTCCAAATAGGGTCCAGAATAAACAAGAAAGATATTCCTGGCACTAAAATAACATTTCCTCTGTTCATTAGTCACGTCCCCACGCCCCTCTTACATTCTTTTGCTTTCCACTTTGAATTTTTATTCTCACAAAAAAAAATAGATTTACTGTTATGCTGACTACTGCATTTGTGTTGAAATGGTATAAATAATATCAGCACACTTGTGAAAGAATATTAGACTCACCAGTTGACGTGTATTGGATGCTTAGCACGATTTCTTTACTTTTGAACTTTGGTAAAAATCGAACATTTCTGCTACTTTGAGCTCAATTTCAAGGTACTTTTCATTGTAAAACCCGTCAAAAATAATCTCAATTTTTGTAATATGTCTTCCATTCTATAAAATGAGACCAGAAAAACTAGAATGCAACAATAAATACCATACAAAAATACAGTGCAAAGTCGCTGTTTTAATCCAAAAACACGGTCAAAGTTTTTTTTTCTCATTACGCACTGTGTGCTGCAGGATTTTTTTTATACTACGCACACTGACTACATAGACCCATTCTTTCATATGTAGGCGTACCAGCTTTCTCTCACTAGATTTGAGGGTGCTAGAAGTTAGGCATACTAGTACGTCAAAAACCCTGGTGCGTAATAGTACCACTTTAATTTGACCATTCCATAAAATGCATACCATTGAACTGATGTAAATTTGATGTAATTTATGTGTAAATTGTCCAGTTCATCATTTGCAACCTGTGACTGTAATGAATTATTCAAGCTGTACTGATAACAATAACTAAAATTATATGGTAGGTCTGAGTTAAAGTAATACATAAGCTTTATGATTAGTTTACCTGAAATGCATTGCATAATAAGTGGCTTTCTTCTGAACTTGTAGTTATATCAAATTGTATTTGTATTATACAGTGGACCCCCGCTTAACGATCACCTCCCAATGCGACCAATTATGTAAGTGTATTTATGTAAGTGCGTTTGTACGTGTATGTTTGGGGGTCTGAAATGGACTAATCTACTTCACAATATTCCTTATGGGAACAAATTCGGTCAGTACTGGCACCTGAACATACTTCTGGAATGAAAAAATATCGTTAACCGGGGGTCCACTGTAATTACATAAACATAAAGTGTAATCAATTGGAATATAAAGCTAACTACAGCCTCTCCTCACTTAGAGATATACTCGTTTACCGACGCCTCGGACTTATGACGGGCTCTCTGACCAGTATTTATACCTAAATAATGTATATTAGAGCTGATTTCCTCTATTCTGTTTATTTCAATATACAGTACACTACTGTATAAACATGTAAAAATATACCAGAAATGTTATAAATGGTGCAAAGGTCACATTAAAACACTGTCAAACATGGTTGACACAAACCCACTACCATTATAGTATGCTTCTCACTTAGCGATGAATTTGTTCAACGACGTGGTCTTAGGAACAGAACACTGTCATTAAGTGAGGAGAGGCTGCATTGTGACTTATTTGTATAGCTCATAAGAATATGGTACTGTGATTTATGTCTGTCTGTATTGGATGTGAGAGTGAGAAATAAAATTGGGGCAAGTAATGTTCCTTAGGGAAAAGATCCTTTCACTGTGGCAGCCTCTGATTTACTTGTTCACTTATTTTATGGACTTTATTTGTTAGAAAGTTAAATATCCATCTTCCCACTTTTTTTTAACAGTCATTCCTTTTGCATGTACATATTGTACATGCTGTTATGCCGTGGTTGCACTTGCTGAAGACTTTTGCAAAGGCGCTGTACACTATATCTTTTTATTTGTCTTCCAGTGTATCCAGACCATGTAATGGTTAATAATAATAATAATAATAATAATAATAATAATAATAATAATAATAATAATAATAATAATAATAAGAAAAACTTTATAAAACTGGGATGCTTGAATGTGCGTGGATGTAGTGCAGATGACAAGAAACAGATGATTGCTAATGTTATGAATGAAAAGAAGTTGGATGTCCTGGCCCTAAGCGAAACAAAGCTGAAGGGGGTAGGGGAGTTTCAGTGGGGGGAAATAAATGGGATTAAATCTGGAGTATCTGAGAGAGTTAGAGCAAAGGAAGGGGTAGCAGTAATGTTAAATGATCAGTTATGGAAGGAGAAAAGAGAATATGAATGTGTAAATTCAAGAATTATGTGGATTAAAGTAAAGGTTGGATGCGAAAAGTGGGTCATAATAAGTGTGTATGCACCTGGAGAAGAGAGGAATGTAGAGGAGAGAGAGAGATTTTGGGAGATGTTAAGTGAATGTATAGGAGCCTTTGAAACAAGTGAGAGAGTAATTGTGGTAGGGGACCTGAATGCTAAAGTAGGAGAAACTTTTAGAGAGGGTGTGGTAGGTAAGTTTGGGGTGCCAGGTGTAAATGAAAATGAGAGCCCTTTGATTGAACTTTGTATAGAAAGGGGTTTAGTTATAGGTAATACATATTTTAAGAAAAAGAGGATAAATAAGTATACAAGATATGATGTAGGGCGAAATGACAATAGTTTGTTGGATTATGTATTGGTAGATAAAAGACTGTTGAGTAGACTTCAGGATGTACATGTTTATAGAGGGGCCACAGATATATCAGATCACTTTCTAGTTGTAGCTACACTGAGAGTAAAAGGTAGATGGGATACAAGGAGAATAGAAGCATCAGGGAAGAGAGAGGTGAAGGTTTATAAACTAAAAGAGGAGGCAGTTAGGGTAAGATATAAACAGCTATTGGAGGATAGATGGGCTAATGAGAGCATAGGCAATGGGGTCGAAGAGGTATGGGGTAGGTTTAAAAATGTAGTGTTGGAGTGTTCAGCAGAAGTTTGTGGTTACAGGAAGGTGGGTGCGGGAGGGAAGAGGAGCGATTGGTGGAATGATGATGTAAAGAGAGTAGTAAGGGAGAAAAAGTTAGCATATGAGAAGTTTTTACAAAGTAGAAGTGATGCAAGGAGGGAAGAGTATATGGAGAAAAAGAGAGAGGTTAAGAGAGTGGTGAAGCAATGTAAAAAGAGAGCAAATGAGAGAGTGGGTGAGATGTTATCAACAAATTTTGTTGAAAATAAGAAAAAGTTTTGGAGTGAGATTAACAAGTTAAGAAAGCCTAGAGAACAAATGGATTTGTCAGTTAAAAATAGGAGAGGAGAGTTATTAAATGGAGAGTTAGAGGTATTGGGAAGATGGAGGGAATATTTCGAGGAATTGTTAAATGTTGATGAAGATAGGGAAGCTGTGATTTCTTGTATAGGGCAAGGAGGAATAACATCTTGTAGGAGTGAGGAAGAGCCAGTTGTGAGTGTGGGGAAAGTTCGTGAGGCAGTAGGTAAAATGAAAGGGGGTAAGGCAGCTGGGATTGATGGGATAAAGATAGAAATGTTAAAAGCAGGTGGGGATATAGTTTTGGAGTGGTTGGTGCAATTATTTAATAAATGTATGGAAGAAGGTAAGGTATCTAGGGATTGGCAGAGAGCATGCATAGTTCCTTTGTATCAAGGCAAAGGGGACAAAAGAGAGTGCAAAAATTATAGGGGGATAAGTTTGTTGAGTATACCTGGTAAAGTGTATGGTAGAGTTATTATTGAAAGAATTAAGAGTAAGACGGAGAATAGGATAGCAGATGAACAAGGAGGCTTTAGGAAAGGTAGGGGATGTGTGGACCAGGTGTTTACAGTGAAACACATAAGTGAACAGTATTTAGATAAGGCATTTATGGATTTGGAAAAGGCGTATGACAGGGTGGATACGGGGGCAATGTGGCAGATGTTGCAGGTGTATGGTGTAGGAGGTAGGTTACTGAAAGCAGTGAAGAGTTTTTACGAGGATAGTGAGGCTCAAGTTAGAGTATGTAGGAAAGAGAGAAATTATTTCCCAGTAAAAGTAGGCCTTAGACAAGGATGAGTGATGTCACCGTGGTTGTTTAATATATTTATAGATGGGGTTGTAAGAGAAGTAAATGCGAGGGTCTTGGCAAGAGGTGTGGAGTTAAAAGATAAAGAATCACACATAAAGTGGGAGTTGTCACAGTTGCTCTTTGCTGATGACACTGTGCTCTTGGGAAATTCTGAAGAGAAGTTGCAGAGATTAGTGGATGAATTTGGTAGGGTATGCAAAAGAAGAAAATTAAAAGTGAATACAGGAAAGAGTAAGGTTATGAGGATAACAAAAAGATTAGGTGATGAAAGATTAGATATCAGATTGGAGGGAGAGAGTATGGAGGAGGTGAATGTATTCAGATATTTGGGAGTGGACGTGTCAGCGGATGGGTCTATGAAAGATGAGGTGAATCATAGAATTGATGAGGGGAAAAGGGTGAGTGGCG